ATTTAGCGGTTACGTGATTATTAGATAGTCCCTGGAGGCGGGACTGGCAGCCAGTGTGCTCCCGGCCCCACTCCTGCGGATCCCCCTGCCACCCTGCACTGCTGTCTCTATATCTCTGGATCCCACCTGCCCTCTCCCTCTAATTGCTCTTCTGATACAGAGGTAGCAAGGGGGAGGGAGTGTGTGTAGTAGATAAGATTACCCAATAAACCCTGGTTTATTGGTTAATCATGTAGTCAACAACACATTGACATTCCTAACATGGACTTGTCCTTGTAAATGTGGGATGTATAGGGGAAGAAGCCAAATTACTATATATGATGCCCTGAAAAGAAAACTTAACTTGCTATAGATAGACAATAACCAGTTGGTGCTGTCCTTTCATCAATGACAATAACTTGCTATCTCTGTGGAGCATGCTAAGAATGAGTTGGGGACCCTTTTTATTCTGATCTGTTTCATTTTTAGGGAGGATTTTTTAAATGATTTTTGAAATATATTTTGATTTGTTTTTATTAATTTCCATAGTACTAGAAATACTATAAGGTAGGAGCTTCCTAGCAAACAGAAAAAGCTTTTTCAAAATATATTGGGTCTGTAAGATTCCTTTATAGTTGCAAGACTCACTATGTGTTTATATACATTTGATCTCCCAACTGCAGTTGCCTGGAAGGGGCTAAATTTTTGGCCCTTATTATAATTAGGTTTTCATAGTCACAACCTTGTGACTTCCTCCACATATGAAAGAGAAACTTATTTCTATTTTTTAGATTGTTCACTTTAGACTTTTTCTCAAAGGGGGAGCAAATGGCAGCATTGTCATGTTTTAATTCAGCCTCCTCTGATAGGCAGCAGTGGGGGAAGGGGATCAGGCAGCACCACGGGAACTGACTTTTAAGGAAGTTCCCTCTAGCACCAGCTCCTGACTGGTTCTTTTCGCTGCCTCTGTAGGAGGCAGCAAGAGGGAGGACAGGCCAGTCCACAGAGCCAGCATGCATGGGGAACTGGCTTAAAAGCCAGTTTACCTGCGTCTATTGTCTCCAGCCTACTTCCTTCACTCTCTGCACTGCTGTCTCTCTATCAGAGGCAGCAGCATGGGGCTGGTGGAGGGCAGACAGATCTGGTGCTCATGGGGAGACTGCGTAAAGCCAGATCCTCACAGCACCAGCTCCCGCTCCCCACATTTCTGCCTCTGATACAGAGGCAGCAAGGGGGGGCATGTAGTCAACAAGATTAACCAATGAACCCGGCTTATTGATGAATCATATAGTCAACTACACGTTGACATCTCTAGTACGAAATGACTCAATCTTTGTGTGTTTTCAGTTTTTTTTATTGCAGTTCTTCAGAAGTAAAATTTATATATTGAACATTTTATTATTTTGTGGAACACTACACTATCTGCTTCCATCATATATCGAAGTCTTATTTGTAAGCACTTCTCTTTCATAAAGGGTAGGTATTGTAAAATGTTAGTTTGAATCCAGAGGTTCTGAGCACTCTGTAGTATGTAGATATTTAATACCTCTTCTCCCCTCTCCTCCGCTTTTTAACCCTTGGCATTATTTAGAAGCCATAAATATAGCAAGAGCTTCATTTTAGCATTTCATAAATGAAAGGATTCTCAAAAAACAAACAGATTTTAAAATAATTTAAACCTCATTTTTCTGTTTGGATTGTTAAAAATGTGATTATTTGGTTTTCCTGTTTAAGAAGTTAGTTAGAACATTGAAACTCTCATTTTGTGATCATTTCTCTCTCTTTTAATACATTTCACCTAGTTTAGGAGTATGGATCAGAAACTCACAAGGAAAACTGATGCCCTTTCCTGCAGCTAAATTAACAGGAATCACGTGGAAAACAATCTGAGCCTTGTATGAAAAGGGGAGCCATTAAAATTAGCCCTAAGCTATGGACTGCACCCAATATCACTAGAACTGCACTCACTGCAGATGTGGAGGCTGGCTCTCAGGCAAACTGAGCTGTGTTGTATAGCTACAATTAAAATCAACTCCTCTGCCAAAAAATAAAAGGGAGGAGGGTAGAAGGAGAACATCAAAGACAGATTGAAATGTGTAGTTAGTAATAAGAGTGGTCTCCTCTTGAACCAAGCCCTGCAGCAATTCATGGCCCCCTTGTTAATGAGAAATTTTGACCTCTGGTTTGTAAGTTAAACTTGTAATCCCAGCTAATGAAGTAAATCAATCCCAACTTCAGTCTGTTGTTCCCATTTTTCTTTGCACACAGTGTCTGGGAGTTAGTATCCAGGTTCACAAACATGATTTGGAAAAAAATAATTATGCTGTAGCTATGTAGCTTCTAAGATGAACTCAAACATGTGTCTATGGCGGACAAATTATTTTAACTTTTCCATGCACATGTGAAGCATCATATTAGATTAGCTGGTTTAACTACATTTAAATAATAGCTTTGGAATACTGGTTTAAATGGCAGGCAAGATTTATAACTGACTTAGAAGAACATTAATTTAGTAAAGGAACTATGCTTCAGATATGTGAATTAGTCTTTTCAAAATTATTTAATATACTTTTCATTTTATGGTATTTTTAAGGTGTATTGGCAATAGAGTATTGCGACAGAATAAAGGTCTCCCGCTATGATATAAACATTGAGGCAAAATTGAAAAATTAATCAAAAATAAATGTAAACCATGATGCTTATTTTGACTGTGCTGGCTTATTCTATGAAATATATGCTCTTGTGTCTTGTAAATCACAGAGTAATGAAAAACAACAATAGAGTAACCTGTTACAAATCCAGCCCCCCAATCCTCAGTACTGACTAGATAGTCTCTGACTGGTTTGAGGCCTCACCGGAGTATCCCGAAATAGCTATACTGTGTCTTCACAGCAAGCCCGTTATTTTGGGCTCGCTATTCCGACATCCCTGTAAACCTCATTCTACGCGGAGTAAGAAATGTTTTGGAATAGCAATTTATTTTGAAATTTGGCACAATGTAGACAGTGCCAAATGACAAAATAAGCTATTTTAAAGTAAGATATGCAATTTGCATATCTTATTTTGAGTTATGGTGCAGTGTAGATTCACCCACTATGTTACAAAAAAAATTGTCACTAAGAAAATGTGCAAAAGATCAACAAATGGTAAACATGGACTAGGGATGTTAGTTAGCTATTAATTTAATAATTGTGTAACCCCATCAAAATTTAGCGGTTACGTGATTATTAGATAGTCCCTGGAGGCGGGACTGGCAGCCAGTGTGCTCCCGGCCCCACTCCTGCGGATCCCCCTGCCACCCTGCACTGCTGTCTCTATATCTCTGGATCCCACCTGCCCTCTCCCTCTAATTGCTCTTCTGATACAGAGGTAGCAAGGGGGAGGGAGTGTGTGTAGTAGATAAGATTACCCAATAAACCCTGGTTTATTGGTTAATCATGTAGTCAACAACACATTGACATTCCTAACATGGACTTGTCCTTGTAAATGTGGGATGTATAGGGGAAGAAGCCAAATTACTATATATGATGCCCTGAAAAGAAAACTTAACTTGCTATAGATAGACAATAACCAGTTGGTGCTGTCCTTTCATCAATGACAATAACTTGCTATCTCTGTGGAGCATGCTAAGAATGAGTTGGGGACCCTTTTTATTCTGATCTGTTTCATTTTTAGGGAGGATTTTTTAAATGATTTTTGAAATATATTTTGATTTGTTTTTATTAATTTCCATAGTACTAGAAATACTATAAGGTAGGAGCTTCCTAGCAAACAGAAAAAGCTTTTTCAAAATATATTGGGTCTGTAAGATTCCTTTATAGTTGCAAGACTCACTATGTGTTTATATACATTTGATCTCCCAACTGCAGTTGCCTGGAAGGGGCTAAATTTTTGGCCCTTATTATAATTAGGTTTTCATAGTCACAACCTTGTGACTTCCTCCACATATGAAAGAGAAACTTATTTCTATTTTTTAGATTGTTCACTTTAGACTTTTTCTCAAAGGGGGAGCAAATGGCAGCATTGTCATGTTTTAATCAATTATTTTAATTCTATTCTATAAAATTCTTTTTTTTAAATTGGGAGAGGTGTTGATTCGGTACACATTCAGTACCGGCTGTTGGCTCTGCCCCTGTGACTAGTGAATAGTTGTATAACTGCTAAAATTTCATGCAGTTACACGACTATTCAGTTACAGCTATCTAACTAACGTTCCTAGTATAATTCCATAGACTATATGCCATAGACCAGTGGTCCCCAACGTTTTGGGGCTGCCGGGCGCCTGGGTGCGGGGCTGCTCACACGCTGCGCATATGGGGGCGGGATCCGCTCACAGGCCACGTGACTCGGGGCGGGGCCAAGCATGCGCCGCACGCCCAAGGTCGGCACCGGCATGTGCTGCGATCCTGGGCAGGGGCTGCCCAGGTTCCGCGTGGTGCTCCCGGGGGCGGGGCCAAAGCTGGCACCAGGGCTGGCAAGGGCACGTGCAGGGGGCA